AAGCAAAGAGCTTTAGAGCTATAAAACTAGGCCGCCTATAAGTAAAATTAAGTGTAGAACAACTTTACTTAGGCAGCTAGAAATGGTTTACTTAATAAAATTTTGAGAAAATAGCAATTGTTTTTATGAAAAATTTGGTACAAGTAATCGTCAAGAAGAGTTAGTGATTTGCATCCAAAAAAGCTTTTATTTTGTCTTTTTAATAAATTCTAAAAAAATGATTGTGACTGATGTTAAACATTGAATTCAATACAAATTTTGCGAGCTTTAGTGAAAAATATAATTTTAGAGAATGAAACTTATTGTTTTCAACTTTAATCTAAAAAAATGATTAATTAACTTTTAGGATATTATATGCTAAAAAATGATACCAAAATTATGTTGACCAGAGTTACGTATTAATTCTACCAACCAGAGTTCGAATTAATTTTACCAAAATTATGTTTACTAGAATTCTACCAACATTATGTTTATAATTCTACCAAAATTTGCTTATAATTCTACCAAAATTATGTTTATAATTCTACCAAAATTATGGTTATTATGAGTTTGAATAAGATATGCATATTTAAGTTCATTTGAACAAACTATACGAAAAGTTAATTTTTTCTACACCTTGAATCAAAGCAAAAAGAGTAATCATTCTTATTTTTTACATTTAATCAACTGTAATTTTGCGTAAAAATTGAATTGTTAACAAAAATCATGTCTGATGTGGTCAATATAATGTATTATTTCTTAAATTATAAATACATATTACTGTAATTCAAAAAATCAATATTGGAAAAAGTTACTACAATTATAATAATAAAACTATAAAGTTTTTTAAAATGTTGATTAGCAAATCGCTAAATTTCTAATTTTCAATTCAATCAACAATTTATACTTACGCACTTATGAATTCAATTAACAAAAAAATAAAATTTATATATTTAGATTTGCTTTATAAGTGTTGACTTGTAAAAAAACAATCACTATGTAAAATAATTTAATTGATGAAAATTTTAATTGAATTTGATTTTTCTAAATAATATCAAATTGATGCTAATTTTTAAAGTAACTAATTATATAATACAATGTGACAGGAATTTGCACTGTTAACTCCAATTTTTATTTTCCAATGACGCGAGTATATTATTTAATATATATTTAAAGACTCAATTTTTGCTCAATTTTGGCATTTATAACAACAAAACTCTCTTTTAATATCATGGAATTGGAATCTATTAATATTCAAAATAACATTGAACTTGTTTTTGATCTAAAAGAATACCATGAAGAATATTTTTTACTTTATCTAAAAAAAAAGATACAAATCTATATTATTCCCTTGAAAATTTTAGCTTATATGAACAAGAATATTCATATAATAAAGATCGTTATAAAGATAAATCTAAAGCTGCTATTCACAATATAAATGGAAATTCTGCTTTTAAGATCAATAATTATAAACAATACAAAATTTATTATAAAGAAAATTTTAAGGCAAAAATTCTTCGAAATAATTATAAAATTAAAAAACATGAAATAGACAATAAAAATTTTATTAGTATTTTGGACGAAAATAATGAAGAAATCATTTTAAAAACAAAGAATATCAAATGTTATCTTCACGATAATCATAGATGGACTGAATTAAAGCACGAAATTCCAAGATATACTAAGTATTTATTTAATGTTGATAAAAGAGGCATTTATAAGATTTTTATGAACGAAAAATTTATTACAAAATTTGAAGTTGGGTATATTTGGTATTTTCATGAAATATGCAATCCTATTGAAAAATTTTCATCTACTTAAATTATTTTAAGCTTTTAACTGTTGAAAAAATCGTCCTAAAAATAAATCTATGCATGTCATCGCATTATCTTAGTTTATTCTGCAAAATCTCTTAATAAAAACATTTGTTTATAAAACATTTGTTTGTTCAACATTAATGCTTATATATTTGTCTTTTGTCTAAATTGATATATGAAATTATCATGTGATAAATACACTATTTAGTGTAAAGTTTCATGAATTACAATGGATTTACTATTTAGATATCCAACGAATAACGGTTCACATCACTACAAATATAAGAATGTAATTTTGAAAATACAATCCTACTAGAATACTAACTAATTATTTAATTATTCTACCAACACATTATGTTTACCAAAGTTACGAATTAATTTACCAATATTGTATTTAGTTCTACCAACATTATGTTTACCGAAGGTATGAATTAATTCTACCAAAGTTATGTTTACCAGAGTTACGAATTAATTCTATCAAATTTATGTTTACCAAAGTTATAAATTAAATTCTACCAAATTTATCAAATTAATGTTACCAGAGTTATGAATTAAATTCTATCAAAATTTACACAATTATATTTACCAGAGTTACAAATTAATTATATCAACAATAGGGTAAGAGTTAGTTAGTACATGATGACTATTTTAAATTTAATTTATTTATTTTTGGTCATAGGTTAAGAGCCTATACCCCAGGTATATTTTAAGAATGCCCTTATATCTAAATCTTTGCCAATCTAGTTATCACGTGATCATATCTGGATAATTTTAGATTCCTCTCATCGAGAGGGTCATTTTGATAGTTAAATCATTCTAATTAGATCAGTGGATTGAAAGTTATAGATGCTGATATTTATGGACTAGACGTTATTATAACAGAAATGTCATCTGGGCAGAGACCATTTGATGGTCGTCTATTTGATCTTAAACTTTCAATTAATATTTGCAAGGATTATGACCAGAATTTGGTGATGGAACTCCAAAATGTTACATTAGGTTAGCTAAAAGATGTATGAATGCAGATCTACAGAAATGATCTATTGCAAATGAAATTAGCTTAAAGCTTTATCATCTTTAGAGTTATATTTGTGGCTACCACTACCATAAATCTGATAAACTACGAATAAAAGATGAATTCTTGGCTGCTGATGAAACTATTAAAACATTACAGGGTATTACACGAAAACATCGAGATCATATGTATACTAGCAAAATTATCAACACTTAGAGAATTTCAAGTGCAGTTAAAGGTATTTATTTTAAAATTACACTATATTACTTATTTCTTTAAAACTAATAATACTATCTTAGCAGCTTTGCCAAGTAAACCTATAGATTCTGCTGAAGTTCCTGTTGGTATATATAATATTAAGTTTTATGTAATTGTAATTAAAACAGATTTATTGCTTATTGTGAATTGGTATTTAGATTATTAAAGTAATTGCTTAGAAGTAAAAATTTATTGTCCTTTTTAATATTTATTTGAATTCTACGAAAATATTTAAATAAAAGTTATTTATTTTATTTTTATTTTTAAATTTTATACATAAGATGCTTTCGATGTTAGATGTTTTAAGTTTAGAAATATAATTAATACTAGCAGTAAATAATCAAATATAATAAAAGTACGATATTTACATTCTAAATTTGTTAGACTGACCAATGATTTCGATTGGTCGAATCAACTCTTCATTATGAGTTGATTCGATTTTATTCTCGACAAATTGAATTAAATCTAAATTCAAATACAGTTTATCTGTAAGGATAAGATTGAATTCAGACGATTTCACTCTATCTATTGATTTCTTAGTAAAATTATTCTTTGATCAAGCTACTAAAATACCAATGGTTTCCTTTTTACCGAATCCAATACTCCTTCAATTTCACACAAATCCTTATCATTCTAAAATAAAAAAGATTAAATACATTGTTTAATAATTAAAAAAACTGATCAATGAACATTACTATAACATCTAGACGCCCAAATATACACCCAAATATATCTTGCATTGAATGATTATTGTATATTCTCTCCAGCCTTCTATCTAATCGATACCTCTGCGCCTTTATTCTCATTACGAAGTCCAAGAAATTTATAAATATCAGCATGGCCTAAAAAACATAGAAACTTGCGCATTAGCACCATGGATATGTTCAAAAACCTAAAATAGAAACTATGAGAAACGTCGAATTTGTTAAAATATGTTTATTTATTCATATTGTTTCTGATAAAAAAATTCACGAAAATTAAAAGTCATATAGCTCACATTAGTTAGCGATTTACAAATGTATCATATAGCTCACATTTGATAGCAATTTACAAATGTATCCTATAGCTCACATTTGATAGTGATTTATATATGTATAGTATAGCTCACATATGTTAGCGATATATGTTTTACATAAAATTGCATTTATAAATAAATTTTGTTTAAGCTGATATATTTGGTAGGGTTGTTAATAGAGTACTCCAGTTAATAATAAAACAACCCACTCCAGAGCACTCCAGAAGCGGGTTGTTTTATTATAGTCTGGAGTACTCCATTAACAACCCTAATATTTAGCACTCATTACTGCAAAATTCACGATATAATGTTAAACTATTTTTTGGAGAAATTTCTGGGCCTCAAATTAAGTTGGGAAAATGTAGAAAAGACTCACTTGAAGACTTTCATAGATATTACAGAAAAAACAAAGAACTTTAGGTTGATACTTTATATGAAAATACGTTAAAAATGTTTATTTTTTGTTTTGGGTACTTCAGTACTTGAGAAAACATGAAATTATATGCCAAATAGTTAAGATCTGCATAGTGATACGTATCTGATCAGTATAACAATAATGATAATGATAAATCAACTTACAGTATAATGATAACGAATAACGACAGTACAGCAGATAGTAAGTCTTTTTTTTTTATATACAGTATAAAGAACTGGACCTATTGTTATGCATTTAATAAGAACTCATTTCTTGCTTCAATCTTATTTACTGAAGTTTGTTTTTTAGACCTTTTTTTTATATATTAATGCCATTTAATTCGCGAAATCCAATTTTTCCACTCCTAAAATTGTGAGAAAATTAGAGGTCAGATAAATATGGAAGATTTGTTTTTTATAGAGTTTTTAGTGTTAGATATAATGTTGACTAAAAATTATTTAATTGATTTAAATGAATTCACTAACGAAGTTTGCATGGGACTGAAATGTTGTAAAATTAATCTTGAATTTAGGTAAGAAATCACTAAGTTAATATCTTGATTTGTATCTGAAGTTATGCTGCCACTAGGGATGACATTGGAGAACTGGAAGCACATCGTGGCCACAGACATGCAATGTCTGTGAATGTCCTTCTCTGTTATGTCTGTTCTGAAAAGCTTGTCCTGCTTCGCACAGAGGTTGTAGTGAATAGGATGCAATTAATGATAATTACTTATAAAAAATTTTTTTTCTTTATAAATCAGGAAACATTTTGTTTGGATTTTACAAAAAGAATTATGTTTTAGTATATTGCAACAACAACGACAACAATGACAAAGTTAAAGAAAAACTTAAAATTTGTAATATTGAACAATTTTTTGAAATTGTTGACAAGTTACTGGCAGACAACACTGTGGCTATTCATGTAACATCAGTTCCCATCGCTTACTCGAGGATTATTGCTAAAAAATATGCAAGTTTGCCAAGCAATATTTTATTCACAAATATTCGAGAATTGGATGATGTTATCGAAGAATATTTTCTAATGAAGCAGGACTCGGTTAGGATGACATGCGTACAATAATAAGAAAAATTGAAGAAATAAATAAGAAATTCGAGAAATCTGAGACTCAAGGAAAAGTAGAAAAAATATTTATAATTTTTTACTTACCTTACTTTTGTTAGTATATATTAATTTTTTGGATTTCTAAAATTTTATTACAACTAGTGATTGATTCATTTTTAAGTTTGTATTCATTTTGAATTTTTCAAATGCTGTAATTTTTTTTAAAGTTTTTACATTCAATTTTGCTAGGTTTTTTCTACAATATCATTAAAATTCTTCGCTTTTTTAAATAAATTGAAAAAACTTTATTTGTACAGATGTACATAAATATATTGCTCAGTAGTCAATTTTATTAAAGAATCTTGTCTGGAGTGAAGTGAAGGATACAGTTATTATAGAATTGTGATAATGATTTTGTCATTTTTAATGTTCTTGAGAATTTTACCAGGGTGAATAACTTTAAATAATTAAAGTGTTTTAATCCATTTCTCTCTGTAAAACTGTTTAAATTTGTATAAACAAATCTAAAAATGTACTAATTTCGAGATAATTTATTAGATTTTAACAAAAGCCGAGCTTGGTTCTTGATATAAAATTTTTTTTAATTAAATAATTGTGGGGCTGATGCTGAAAATGGATTATGCTGAAAATTTTTTATATTTTATTATGAAAATTGTAAAATTTTTTAGGGCCTTTTTTTTGGTCTTTTTTTTTATAGTTAGGCTAGGGTTAGGATGTAGTTTTATTAATAAAAGAGTTTACGTGGGTTTTAGTAGATATTATAGGTTTAAATGGAGACCCCAAATTTTCAGCATAATCCATTTTCAGCATCAGCCTCCATAATAATTTTATTTCTGGAAAAAATCACATGCATCCGCACTTGGTCCAGCCTGTTTGGCCTGTTTGGCTTTTTTTGAAAGTTAATTTGGGCCACAACGAATTTTTCTTGGATTGTTTATTTTTGATTTTTGACAATGTTAACCAATTCATATTTTTTTTATATTTTGAAAATTGATTACTAAAATAAAAACATTAATTTGAATTTTACAATACAATTATTGTTGCTTAAGAAAAGCAGTTGTAATTATATAATTACATATTTTCTAATTCAAATGAACTTTATCTTTTATAAATTTTTTGTTATACACGATTTTTCTAACATAATATATATATATATATATATATATACGTTGTGCCTCAGACTAACGCTTGCCTCAGATGTCGATTTATTGGCCAGCATTAACTGATAACATTGATTGGCCTAAATTATACCTTAATTCTTCCCAAATTCTTACCCTAATCCTAACCTAACTTAGGCCGATCGACATCTGAGGCAAGCGTTAATCTGAGACACGACATATATATATATTCATCTGTATTTACTATATCAATGAGAATGAAATAAGATTAAAATATTTTAAAATTTCTATTCATCAACTTTCAAATAATTATCTGATACCAGTACTTAAAATAATACTTATTCAAAACGTACAAGAAAAGTTTGTGTTAGTTATTAAATGCACTGCTTCAAAAAGTTCATTATTTTAAGCCTATCGTAAGGTCATCTTTATAGAAATAAATTTATTTACTACTAAATATAAAACTATCTTCTGTACATTTGTACATATCATCACTTATAGACCACTAGGTGCTGCAAAAGGGTGAAAATTGACAATTTCTTAAAATTAATTTGTTTTTACATGAAAAATTAATTTCACTTAACACACAAATATGTTGCGAAGCATCCAATCTCTGATAATAATCCTCAGGATATTGATAATTGATCGTGATACTGACCAATCATATATTTTTTTATATTTTTATAAAAATGGATAATTGATAAACAAAATCACATATAATCAAATCGAACCAATCATATTTTTTTGTATTTTTTTACAAAAAATTTTAGATTACTGAAGTTCGATAAATTAAAAATATAATTGGTCAATTTTTTTTTAAACAAATATAACAACTCAGAAATTATCATCTGCTCCGCTCTTGCAAATATGCAATTGATACTTAAAGAGCGTGTATTTGCACTTGTATGTAAAAACATAATTATTATTTTTTTTTAAAGATCTTTTTATAAAAAATAATGTAATACAAATATAGTTTTGATCTCAAAGATTTCTTTATTGACTAAAAATTCACATGATTAAAATGCAATTCCTCCAAGGGTGTGGCGACTTAGTGAAGTTGGTAAGTTGTCACACCTCCAAATGGCAGGTCTAGAGTTCAAATCCCACTGGCGACGATTTTGAAAAATAAGTTTTGTTTCGGTAACATTTATTTGACGATCGGTTGGATGTATTACCTGTAACCTTGGTACCACCATCTTGAATGGGAGCTTTCAGCTGAAGTTGTGTGACATCATACAGACAAAGCCAAGGAACCGGAATAATTGAAATCCATTTGGAAAGACCCGAGCAAGGAGGTAGTAAAGATCTTCGACGATACTGTAGAAGCTGGAAGCCCGGAAACCGGAGACCGAAGAACTGGACGAATAATCCTGGGGCAAGAAAGGTTCACCAACCTGGTTGCCGGAGTCGCACTGAAGGAAAAGATCCTATGCTGCGGAATTAGGAACCAAAGGAAGGGAACTATCGAACACTTAAAGTCTAGGTATACCAACCTATCCGGACTAACTGGTTTGGAAGTTTGGGAGGGATCGGTATAAGGACTAGAAGAAAGGTAAATATAGGTATGGGGTTGGAATAAACCTTGTAAGAGCAGGGGAACCAGGAATTGTGCGGTTTAATGGTTAGCTCTGACCGCTAGTGTTGGTCTCGGCCATAGCAGACAGGTTCTCTGAACCTAATTTGAAAATGTGTAAGACATAGAAAAATTAGGGAGGCAGCCACTATGCCCACCTGTGGAGACCCTAGGGAAACCAGCGGGGTAACCAAACTCAGGTAAGTGAGTGGGGGCACTTCAGTATAAAGGTACCTGGCTTAGAATAATTGGTGGGTATGTAGGATTAGAGTGTTTAAATAGATAATCCCCTAGTCAGATTATAGGCATAGCATCTAGTGTAGAACCTTCGGACGGACTACTTAAATAGGCAATCAAAAGTTGTACATGTAGCTAGTTGTACTCTCATTGTAATACTAAATGTAAGACCCACGTAGTCAACAGTTCAACAGTTAAACATCAATAAAGCTCGGTCACGAAGGACACCTTATAAAAAAAAAAAAAAAAAAAAAAAAAAAAAAAAAAAATGCAATTCCTCCAATATAGAAATGTTTTTCAGAATTTCTTAGCAAAGAATTGAGCTATTTAGAATTCCTCCAATATAGATCGAGTTTTTTAGAATTCCTCAGAAACCAATCTAGCTTTTTTGAATTCCTCCAATATAGATCGAGTTTTTTAGAATTCCTCCAATATAGAAATGTTTTTCAGAATTTCTTAGCAAAGAATTAAGCTATAGAATTCCTCCAATATAGAAATGTTTTTCAGAATTGAGCTATTTGAATTCCTCAGAAACCGATCTAGCTTTTTAGAATTCCTCCAATATAGATTGAGCTTTTTAGAATTTCTCCAATATAGTTCGTATTGACCGATCGTGAATTAAAATTACTTATAATAAAATTTTAAATCATTTATTTTTTTATAAAATAATTTTTTTACTTGATTATGTTTTTATGTACAAGTGTAAATACATGCTCTTAAGGTGTTGCTTGCATATTTACACAGTCGATATATTGTATCGACAGAAGAAACGATACATTGTATCGTTGAGAAATGATTTGTTGACAAATCATTTAGAGACTTGGTGTTTTTGTTTTGAAGCAATAAAGAAAATCTGAAACTTCAGGCGAAGCGCAAACAAATAGTTTACGTGATTTATTTAACCAATAAGCTTTAAGATTTACAATGAATAAGATATGATTAATAAACTAAGATTTCTTTTGTAAAATAATTTTTCTTTAATTGGGGCCATTTTTTTTAAAAAATTCTTAAAGTTCATGATGTATATTTTTATAAAGAATACTAAAGTACAAATATTAAAACTATCTCTCCTATATTAAAGTACCATCAGTTCTGTTTGATTCCTATCAGAACGGATATTTACTAATAATAGTACCCATCAGTTCTGTCCAATTCCTATCAGAACGGATATTATTCATAAACTTTAACTTTTTTTTATAAACAGGATCATTTGAGAATTGCTTCTCATGCATTTGTATATAACTCTGTTTTTTTGAAAATTATAAAGCGATTTAAGAAATATAATTTTTTCAAAAAATTTTATATTAATAAAATTCTTACTATTGTATGAATAAAAAATTCAGAGGAATTGATTTAATTTCACTATTCATCCTGGGAAAAAATAAAACAGAGTTATTTTATCACATGATTTAAATAGATATTTGGAGTGCTCTATATTAAAAGGGCCCACTCAATTAACGCGATGTGAAGTTTTCTTTGTCTGTCATATCATGGTTACCAAGAAATCTTGATATACCTGAGTATCACTTGAACTCTTGGTTCAACGTTAAAGAGCAACGAGAAGAGATCCAGTAAAAAGAAGGTGGTCGAGGAACTTAAGACCAAAAAGATCAGGTTCCACCCAACAAAGGAACAACGTTAATGAAAAAGTTTGTGATCTGAATTCTCTGCGTGAAAAAGTAGTAAAGAACGAGAATACCGGTTTTCATTAGGTGCTCAACATACCTTATGATACACGTGATTCAGTCGTGTAAGAATAAAAATTACAAAGTGTAATTTTATGTTGAATTTTAGTCAAAAATTTGTATGTAAAAACATAATTAGATATTTTTATAAAAAATAATGTAATACAAATCTGTTTTATTGTTTGATTTTTTTCAATAATTTTTCTTAAATAAAAAATTTACATGATTAAAACTCATTATAAATAATATTTAATAAGCAATTCCTTCAATATAGAAATGTTTTTCAGAATTTCTCAGCAAAGAATTGAGCTATTTAGAATTCCTCCAATATAGATCGAGTTTTTTAGAATTCAGAAATCGAACTAGCTTTTTAGAATTCCTCCA